CAGCCAGACATTCTTTCCATCTGGAATGCGGCTCCTCCAGACTCTCACAGGCTTCTCTCCTTTCCACCCTTCAGGCTTTTGCTCAAGCATTACTTGGTGGGGGCTCTTGCTTGACCCTCTGTATAGAAGAGGGTTGGGCAGGGCCACGGTGAGGCCGAGAGTTAGGAGTCACATCGCCTTTGCTGGCGTCTCAACCCTGCCCCTTCACCATAGTAAGTTACCCGGTTTCTTAATGTTTTAGTTTTCACACATGTAAAATGAGAAAAATAATAGTACAGATGCATAGAAGTGTTATTAGGATTGATGAATTGATAGATATACACCTGGAGAAGATTGGTCCACAGGAAATACAGTACTCAGTAGGCGCCTCTTCCTGTTAGGGTTCCTGCTCCAAACAGTAACCCAGGAATGCAAAGAGGTGGCAGCATAGGAAAGCCAGCCCTTCTCCAGTCTGCTCAGAGCTCTGGGGAGTGTGCTCTGTACTCTTGCATTGATTCCCTCCATGCTTTTCCTGATTTTGATATTTATTTGTTTTTGATTGTCATTGTATGTCAATATGTTTCTGTAATTTCTTTCAAATTCCTTGAGGAACATGGCAGGATCAACTGCAATGAACCACAATTAATTATTTCATTCAAAAATGGTAAATTCTACAATGCTAATTTAATGGCTGTTGAGCATTTTTTTTTGTTTCCTTCCAAATTTAACATTGATTAATCCTGAGATTAGGCCTTTACTATTGACGCAAGCCAGAAATTGGACTGTAGCCATCCCATACTTCTAAATTCAGTCACTTCAAGGCTGTGTTGTGGTAGAAGTCTGGGTCGGTGATGATCTGATGGATTGGAAGATGGGAGGGAAAAACTTCTGGGAGCATTTGGTCCTTGAGCTGTGATTTAAAGAGGAGAAAGTTGTGGTTTGGTTGTTGTCCCATAGATATGGAAAAAATTGAGCAACACTCACAGCCAGGAGAGGAAGAACCAGTGGAAGGAACCACATGACAATAAATTTAGTTGGTGTGGAAGGTGAAGGCTAGGTTAGAGCAGGAGATGAAAACAGGCGGAGAGGGCGGGCCCAGCCGGGAGAGGCCTTTGAACGAAATACTTGGAAATTTGTGTTTGGCTGGCGGTGTAATAAGAAGTCAGTGTAGGCTACAGGTCATTACAGGATGTGGCCAAAGTGGTGGAAAAAAGGAAACAAAAAGAGGAAAAGAAGAACTTTGGAAGCTGCATGCATATCAGCATAATTCATGCACCACTAAGTATTCTATAATCTACCTGAAGACAAGTCCACTGTATTTGTTGAATGGCTGATGCACAGATGATGAGTGAACAAATGGTTATGCTGTCGGAGGGGGGCAGCTCAGCTTCCAGAGTAAGTGACACATGCCCATGCAGGAAACAGATTTGTCAGAGACATCCTACGGAAAGTCAAGAACAATGCTATATGCTTGTATGTATATGTAATAGATACACATGTGTGCAGTGACATGGGAATGTCAGGCATTTCTCTGAGGAAACTAAGGAAAAGAGGGTTAGACCAAGTCTTTGCCTTTATAGAGCTTAAAATTTAGAGATGACACATTCATATCTGCTCAATAGTTTCTTATTGAGCACCAAATACTGGCCAGGCTATGCCCTGTTGGTGGAAAAAAGAGAGGGGGGGGGTGCCAAAATACCCAGATGTATTACTAATGGCTTTCTAAAGGGCTGAAGCTGGTTATCCTCAGGGCTTTTCTGCAAATGTGCTGCATTGTTCAGAGGCAGGAGAGGACAGGCAAATTCTCTACTGTCCTCCTGCCTGACGCACAGCTTCCCCTCTGTGAGTGTGTGCGGCTTGCTGGCTTGAGAGGCACCTGGAGCCGGCTCGCACATCATGAGGGTGAGGCCCCTGCAGCATGGAGTGGAGGGAGTGGGATACACTGTACCTGAAGAGGTGGATGTCTAGAATGAGAGGCTCTGCAACACCAAGAGTCAGGCACCAGATGGCCCCAGAAGAGACTCCCTGCTGCTTCAGCCCTGTCAGAATGTAAGCCAGCAGTGTGCCTGTTCTCAGTCCTGCTCATCTAGGGGGTCCTGGAAGGACCCTCGGGGACATCTTCTAGAGTAGATAGGGTGCTACTGGAGAAGAAGAGGAAATCAGGAAATCAAAAGTCTAACTTGTTACTTGGAGCTTTTTAAAGAAAACCTAGCAAACTGGTTTGGGCAAAAGAGATTTCTCTTCCATCTGAAGAGAAGTCTTAGAAATAGATATACAATGGATTGAATGATTTATCCACCAAAATTCACATGTTGGCATCTGATGGCAATACCACGGTATTCAGAAGTGGGTCCTTCAGGAGACAGTTAGGTCATGAGGATGGAGCCCTCCTGGATGAGCTTAGGAAAAGAGGTCAAGAACTCACTGGCTGCTCCTTCCACTTCTCAAAGACACAAGGCAGAATCTGCTATCTGCGCTAGAAGGAAGGCCCCGCCGACACCAGACAGCACCAGCGCCCAGGCTCATACTTCCCAGCCTCCAGGCCTGTGAGAAGTGAATGTTTACTGTTGGAGCCCTCTAACTTGGGGCAATTTGTCACATTGGCCCGGACTGAGTAAAAGGGTGGACGGAAGGCATAAACCATGGCGTTATCTTGGCTCATCTTTGTCTCTGCTTTTCTTTATAACTTGGCTTCTTTCCATTCCATCAGGGGCAGCTTCTTTGATGCAGTATGGGAGGAGACTAACAAGAGAAATGTAAACATTTTTCTTACAACCCGAGATTATAAAGAAAGAAGGACGTTATTGCTGTTATGCTAGCAGGGAAGCTCCACGGGAGGAGGGGCTCTATTCGACCATATGCCCATCCCTAACCAATCACTGTGGCTACTGGTAAAGTGGTCCTGTTTGATGAAGCTCAGGCCAGTTCCCATCTGTGGGCTGGATAGCTTTCATAACTTCCTGTCCTTGAAAAATATATGGGGTATAGAAGAGTGGCTGTTTCAAGGGAAAAATATTAATTAAAAGCAGTAACAAGTACAGATATATACATGAATATGTGTTAAAGGCTTCTTCTCCTCAGCTATCAAGAAAGGAGCCAGATGTTATAACCTGTTCAAAGAAAGAAAGAAACTGACTAGGAAGACTGAAACAAAAGTGCAAATGAGATGAAACTATTTTTTCCACATTGGAGGGGAATGAGGTGACTGAACCTGCATCAACAGGAAATAAACTACCAGCAAGGACTCTTTGATTGGTGTTGGTTTCCTGCACATCACGCAGTTGTACATTAGTGTTCTTACTATCCGAGTCTCAATCTGGAGGGGCCGCCTCTGGCTTCATTGCATAGTTTTCACTGAGAGCATAAATATTCCCACTAGACTCAGCAGACAAACAAGCAGTACTCACTAAGGGAAGGCCATGGTGTTTAGTGGAGAAATATTACTCTCTCAGTTCCAGATGGGACTCGCAGAAAGCTACCCCTAGTGTCATGTAGGGCACAGGTTGTGTGCGCTTCCTCCGAGACAACAGGAAAACTCCACTATTTTATGCTGCTTGTCCATTGCCTAAAGCCATTTTTGAGTTTCTTTGTTCTCAGCATCAGAAAAGCCTTGTCATTTTATTGCTAAGAAATAAATTTCCTGGACATAAATGTTAGAAGCGTTGATGTTCAGGTTTTTATTATACATTGCCCGAGGTTAATGCTGGTTCCACACAGATACCAGTTCTGTGGTGCTTAGGTACAGCCACATTGAACAGGCAGGGCGGATTATTAGTCTTGCAATTATCCTTACCATAAATTACATTGAGTCTACAGGCAAGACAATAAACAGCAAGAGATGACAGAAACTGGGCTTTAGAGTTAGCTAGTAGTCTATGTTACATGCAAGCAGATACAGCTGCCAACTCTGGTGAGCAAGACATTTCTGGGTCTAGTCATTCCCAGTCAATGAGGTGTGTTATTCACTCGACAGAAGCTGCAGCTGGGCCACCTCTCCCAGAAAAGATCAGCTCAGGAGGAAACAACAGCTGAAAATATACCAGAAATGAGAAAAAAGAAACAGTTGTGAATTTGACACAGCAAAGACCAGGTAGTGTGTGAACTGAGGGCCTAACGGTGAAAGGGAGGAAAGCAGATCCCTGGGGTTCCCCGCCCGCCGGCCTGCCCCCGCCAGCGCCGACCTCTCACCCTAGTTGCCCCTGGCAGTGACCCTTCAGGAAGCAGGTATCAGTGGGGCCCAGGAGACAGCACAGTGGCTGGTATGGACATAGACAGTTCCCTCTGCCTTGGGCTCACTGAGGAGGTGTAGCCCTTGGCCAGCAGGACCTGTGCAAGTTTTACAGAGCTCGCAGGTCAGGAGAAGTACAGTGGGACTCAGCCAAGGTCAGAGTAGGAACACGGTTCCTTAGCATAGTAAAAGGCAAAAATATCTTTCCTGTCACTCAGTGAGTCCTTGACACTCAGCCCTTATCCTCACACTTGTGGTTTCCTTTGGGATGTAAAATATAGATTTCCTTGTGTCTCTCGTTGTCTCTGGTTTGTTTGTTTGTTTGTGACAAGGTCTCACTAGTTCAGGCTGGCCTTTAATTTGTGGCGATCCTCCTGCCTCAGACTCTGAAGTGTGGGATCACAAGCATGCATCTCCAGATCCGGTATCATGGTCTATCTCCATAAAGATTTGCTTAGTATAAAATGGAGAAACTGTGTGAGCGAGATGAGATTCCCCATAAAGAGCTTCAGGCTGTGATGAAAGAGCGTACCCCAATTCTAAAGGCGAGGAGTCTGGGCTCAAGGGAGCAGCTGCTCCTAGCCTGCCCATCCAAATCCATGTGGACCCGCTGCCTTCTCCACGGCACCCTCTGTAAGCCAATGCACCCTTTCTTCCCGACCAAGTTGCTTCAATGGAAACTCCTTCCCTTTCTTTGCCAGGTCCTTTAAACATAAATAAATGAGCCACTCAGAACCAGCTGGGCTACAAAGCTTACAGGAAGTACTCATCAGTGTGGGCAGTAGGGTGCATGTCAGAGAGTAGAGAGGATAGCACTGATGATGGTGACGATGGTGATGATGATGATGGTGGTGACCGTGATGGTGACGATGATGATGGTGATGATAATGATGATGATGATGATGAAGAATAACCTGCCTCTGGGAAGGAGGAGGGGGCTGCCTCAGCCAGGGGCAGAGAGCATAGGCTTGGAAGCCAAGGAGGAGGAAGAGAAGGAGGAGGAGGAGGAAAAAAAAGAGGAAAGGGTGAGAGGTCTAGGTTCAGGTGTCTATCTCCTTACAGACAGGACCATGGCTGCTGTGGATGGTTACACAGCATAGCTCCCAGCCCACCTGCAACCACTCCTCAAATACCTGGGAACTCCTTTTGGTTGTACATGTGTGTGCATGTGTGTGACAGAGAAAGACAGACCAAGAGAGACCGAGAGAAAGAGACACACACACACACACACACACACACACACACACACACACGCATGCGCACGCACACGTGCACACGCGGGGCGGGGGGAGCTCATGAGCAATATCTACGGCCCTTGAAGGCTGTGTCCATGCAGAGGAGGTGGTGCAGGCAGAGCTGACACTGACAGTGATGCCTTCCCAGGGATGGAGGAGGGCAGGAAAATGGGGTTCTCGGACCTGTTGTTTCCCTGAACTCCCTGAACTGAGTTAGAAAAAAGTTCTATGTGAAAGATGCTTGTCCTGAGCCAAGCATGGCCTCGAGTCAGGGAGCCCTTGCTCTGAACTCAGTCTGCTCCTGGAGACTGGCCCAGGGCAAGCTATCTCCTCTGCTACAGCAAACGGCACTGGTGTGAACTGGAGGGGAAGAATCCCCTCTCATGGGAGCCTCGGAGGATAAAAGGAGATAGAGAAAATTAATAAATGTGTTGGCCTAGCCTTATGCTAGCTTACTTTTTCCAACATAGTTGTTATAATAGTGTTATAAAGTGTTCATACACTTTTCAGTTCTGGAGGGAGGTGGCAGTTACAGATCTCTTGTAGTTCGGAGAAAATAAGTTTATTCTGCCAGAAAACCTGCCTGAATCTCCTTTTCCTATATTGGTCATGACATAACTCTTCAATATGCAATTTTAGGTGTTACGTTAACTCAAGGGTTCTACTAAAACTTGTGATGACTGAAAGAGTGATGTGAACACAGAGTCATTAACTCCAATGTGGCGTGGTTCACTATTGTTTAGCACTTCTTCTGTAGAACATGAAACCCAAACAGGCCAGTTCCCAGCAGTTTTTAATGAAGATTCAGTGAGCCGTGACCACCATTTGCCTTACTCAAAAGAAAGCTGGACAACAGCTCTCTGGACCCTAAAGCAGCACACATCTAGCCAGGAGTAGTAGTAGTACTTACGACAATGCAGTTTTCAGGTGTGACATTGTTCTATATTTATTTCAATTTGTAAATGTCTTTTAGTTTGGAGGAAAATACAAGGAAACACTTTGGAAAATATTTTGAAGTTTAACAAAAATGCAATCTGAACACATATCCCTATGCATTGCATTTGTAAACATGAACAACGCTAGGGACTTGCACGGAGATAAGAGTGTTCTCACCCTGACGGTAGGCAGCTCTGTTTGGGAGCTGTGCACATTTATCTGTCGAATTAGCAGAGAGCCTCTTCTGCACAACCGTGGCCTGTGGGGAACTTCTGAGCAGCGTATTCATAGCTAGAAAACCTGATATTTTAAATTCTCCTCCCTTCCACTGGGAGGTTGCTTTATATTCAACACAAACCCTTGATTCTTATACTTACAGGGCTGGAAAAGCACCTTTAAGCCAGAGGCTGGAAACAAAGGGCACTGTGGAAGGCACTGGCAGCTGAAAGCCACACTTCCCAAAGTCAGACTCATCTTCCATCGCCAGCAGATGCCGCTCTGTTTAACTCTGCTTCCGGTTGATTAATCCAGAAACTGAGAGAACTTTTAAAATCTGTTCAAGAATGTATTGAGCACCTGCTCTGTACTCTCTTCTCAAATGTTAGGGGTAGATATTGAATAAGACAAAGGTCCTGCCCTCCAGGAGCCACAACATGGCCAAAGACGCTCCGCTGGCACCTTGGAAGGACAGCACTTACCCTAAGACATCCACCCCAGGACACACAATAATTGAATTCATTGAAATAATATCCCTGGCTTTGGAATCTTAGTGCTGACCGACACTGTTCCACCCTCTCTGCAAAGTTTGGTTGAACCTTCGGGAGTAACTTACCAGATGGCAGAATCTCGGTCACAGCATAATGGAATCTTTCATTATGATGTTGGACTCAACAGCTTATGTGTTATCAAATGAAGGGAAATGGCAAACATCTGTTCTGGGAGTCTGTCACCTTTATTTGAAAAAGGAGCAATAAATAGCTCTGTGAGGGACGCTTCACAGTGGATGATCACTTTGTAGTCATCATTTTTGTTCACAGCTGGTCCTTTCTTTCCATGAACTTTATAGGCAAAAGGGAGCAAACAGGAGCTAAACTATAAAATACGCTGGAATTAAATTTTAGGTAACTCTAAAGTTAATACCCTGCGATACTGTACATGTATTCCAAGGAAAGGTCCTCACTCTTGTGTTGTGAATTCAGAAGGGTACCTGTTAAACCATATTTTAATGAATTGACTATAAGACAAAGTTGAAGTGATATTTGACTTTATTCTTCCTATTGGTTTCATTATGTGCATATTAGACAGACCATCTCCAATTTTACAAACACTAACTCCTATTGTCTCTGTGCAATACTAACTGCAAATTTAATAGCTGCTTTGTGCAACTGGCACTTAGACTAGGTAATGGAAAATTAGAACTTAATTCTTAGCCATGAAGGTGGGCATTACACTGTCTGTCTCCCAGGAAAATGTTTAGTTTTCCTATATTTATGGGGTGACATGGCTTACATTACAAATTAGTTTTTGTAACGAGGAAGAAAGACGCAACGATTGGCATTAAATATTTTCAGGACTAATAATGTCAAAATTGAATTTTGTTCTTAACAGTGTGGCTCTGCACATGTTAGCTGTGCTCTAGGCTGTGCTTTAGAGTACACTTGATTTGTAATGGTAGCTGAGAAAGTACAGAGGAAAGGAAGAAGGTCTTCACACATAAGCATCACTACTTGTCTTTTGGAAATGGCTCCGCAATAGCCATAAATAAATTTGGTGTCTACTTGAAAATCAAATTTCTGTTTGAATAAAGTTTGAGGAACGTAATGATACATTAGCAGATTGTCTTACTTGTAAAATTCCAGAATACTTAAACCAATTTGCCTTAATTTAAAATGTTACTTTGTACATTAATTAAGGACAAACTCTAGTACTTAGATTGTAATTATTTTTGAGACAAGGTTTTGCTATGCAGTTCATGCTGGCCTTGAGCCCACTATGGAGCCCAAGATGGCCTGAAACTCACAGTGGTCCTCCTGCCTCAGCCTCCCAGAGTGCTGGGATTAAAGTCACACACCAGCATGCCTGGCAACTATACTTTTCTAAGAGTTTACCTTTGAACATTTTTATCTTAACTTATACATTTTTTTCTTTCATAGAAAAAGATATGTTTTCTAAAGATTTTGTTCCACTTATCTTTCCATTCTGTTGTCCTATATTTTTGTTTGTTAATGCTACTAGGTAACTAGGGCATAACTAAAGGCAACAATGGTATCACAATGCTTTGGTAAGAACTGACAACTATAAATCTCCTTTATCTCTCTTTCCTCCTTTCAAGAATGGGCTACTTATCAAGAAAAACTTAAAGGCAACTTGCACTAGAAGCTGAATCTGAGGCTTCCTTGCCTTCTTCTTCAAGCACTTACAAAACTGGTGTTTTAGAAGTTATATTTTTGAGTCTTTTGTGAAGATGGAGGAGTGGTGGCCGGCAGAGAAACAGCCTCTCGGAGATTCAGTCTCCAGACACTGGCATAAGGCAGTGTGAGGGAGAGAAGATGGAGGAAATGTCCTGGGGAGCCAGGAAAGATCTGAAGCGAATATTGAGGCACACGGGAAAGTGAAAGCAGGGACCTGAGTGCAGAAGAAGGAGGTGACCACAGGCAGCGCTTTCCCCCCAGCCCTGGCTGCAAGTCCGGGGCGGGGCTTGAACCTGCAGTTGCACAATGACTGCTGTGACCCCCATGGAGAAACTCACCAGTTGAACAGAGCAGTGAACTCAGTGGACTGCAGTGGCTGGCGAATTATTCGGATTCAGATGCTCCCAGGACAGGGCAGTTGGCTCATAGCCATTTTGGAGAGGGGCCAACTGAGTTGAGAACTCAGAGCAGTTGTGGGCTGGCTTCATCCAGTGGGAGGTCAAGGATCTAAGTTTAAGCTGGCAGAAGGCATAGAGTGTTGCAGGCTGAACAACTTGGATTTCACGCTCAGCCAGAAATCAGGCTAATTTCAGGGGACCTAAAGGTGCAGGCTTGCTGGGATTATGTGCTCCTCTGCCGTAAATCTACTGCTGGCTTTCAGGGATTAACTAACATGGGTCTGGGCTCTGTCTGCCCCCTCTGTCTACCACTGACAGCAGAGACATGCCCCAATGTGGATACTTTTTTTTTTCTTTTTTTTTTGGCTTCTTTTCTCTGTTTTTCTTGATTGTTCTCATTTTTATATGAATGTGAACATTGTGTCTAGTTCTTTTTTGTTGCTGCTGTTTTGTTCTGTTCTTGTTTTTATTTCTTTCTCCTCTCTTTGCCTCCTGCCTTCATCAGCTTCCCAAAGTTTGTCCTCCAGCCTTGCTTTCTAATCATTTCCTCTTCTTCTACTTCTCTATTTTTTCCCTAACATCTTTAAATTTTCTCCCCTTAAGGAAAAAATCACCATATTGAAGGTATATTTACTGTATACAATTTTCTGGTTTGTTTTAGATTTTGATATATAACTACAAACTTATTTCATATGGTTAAAAGTGGCAAATTAATAGTTACCAGGCTGTCATTATCTAGGCTGTGTTTGATGCTATTGTTATTACTGATTGTACTAATTTAGCCAAAAAGACAAGATTGTTCTAATCAGTTGTTCTTCATTGTATGGCAAGATTGTCTGAGGGTATGAGCAATATTATAGGTCCGTACCAAAGGACAAGGGCTGGACCAAATAGGAGGCAACTTCTCATTCTCAATAAATTGGAGAAGTGGGATATTGCA